ATGTAATATGAAGTATTATCAAAGATTATTATTTACTAGAGAATTGTATTTCACTGTCTTCACATCTCAAATATCTGCTCATTCAAATCTCTGATAGTTGACATTATAGTAGTCTCAGATTAATTTAACATATAAGTCTCATTTCTTCTCTGTTCAATCTTGAGAAGTGTAGATATTAACTTGACAGAAGAGATCTAGTAGAGCTGCTATAGCATAGTACTCTGCAAAAGATTGTTCAGTTTTGCTGTAGTAATATATCAGTTTATTTCTTACAGCAATAATAGCCTGCACTATAGCATTATCTCAGACTGAATTTCCTTTTAAGTGATTTAACTGCTTCTTAAGATGAGTAAATAAACTGTTATACACTCATCAGACTGACTGCAGCATTGATATACAAGTGATTAAAACTGTCTTTACTATTTTATAAAACTGAAACAGTAAATCAATCACATATTTCAACTGAGTTCATTTCATATCAGAAAGTTTCAATCTCTGAATCTTTTCTCAATCAGAGTATTACACTCAATAATCAATTATCTAATACAATCAAAGAGTCTGAATAGCTATTTTATATATTGAACTTCATTATATTCTAACATTCTGTATCATATTCAGTGATGTAACTGATTTGTTTATTTATTAAATATCATGAAATTATTATTATTGTTTAGAGGAGATACAAATCACATTAGCAATATTTCAAATCTATGATATTTACATTATTAGTCAATCTATTCAAAATTAACAGTAGTATTATTAAAAAGTATTATCAAAAAGTAATATTAAAAAGTGTTATCAAAAAACATTATCTTTTATAAAGTGAATGTAAAAGTTACTTAAGTAATCACTTTCATCTCATTCTCATCTCAAGAATCAGTCATCTCATTATTTATTATCTTGATGTTAAGATTCTTTATCAGTGTTTACATCACAAGTTGAATCACATGAGTAATACAGAGAATATAATCTTGTTTATCATTTCAGAAATACAAAGTCAATTTTTACTTCAAGCTCTTCATCATAGTGTAGTTATTTACAGCATTATCATTTATAATTGTAAGAAGACTGAGACTAATATCTCAATAGTTGTTTTTAATCACTGTTATTAATATCTCTGCTATATAATCCTCAGTATAACTACTGATCAATGATTTAAATTCAATTAATATCTCTTAATAAGTTCAGTTCTCATCAATGTAATAACATGTAACTCTCATAAATGTAAGATTGTTTATACTAGTTCATACATTCACTGTGAGAGACACTCTTTAATGATTCTTCAACTCTGATTCTAGATATTATATATTAACTTTATAGTGTGTCTTGAGATTGAACTGAAGACATGATCAATGTGAAATATAAAGATTTGAATTAATCATTTGAAGAAGTATTCAGAATTCAGAGTTTTCAATTAATTGAAGAGAAAGATTCAGAGATATACATATGCAAAGTAATTATTTACAGAAGTTATTAGATAAGAGTTATGAAATCAGAGTACTAATACATAATTGTTTTCACATGATTTTCTTCAAATTAGAAAGTTAGTGTTATTAAAAATCATTATCTGATAGAGTAACTTATCAGCTCAGTAGTAATTTTCTGATTATTTTTCTTTTATTATCTGCATTCTGATAACTTCAGATGTTAGGAAATTTCATCAGAGCTATAATCAGTTTATGATGAATATTTCTGAATAAAGTTGCAGTGATTACAGTAGAGAGATGACTCTTCAGTAATCTACAATACAATCTACTGATAATTATTTCATAGTTCATCTTAATATTTATATGTTGAGTTTTTCATAAATTTCATGACCTGAAATCAGATGTGAAGAATGAAGTAATTATTCATTATAATTGAAAGAGAGTATTCTGTGTTGAATTGTAAATAACATAGACTTTGTAATTCACAGTGATTTCTTGAAGAGTTTATAAATCTTCAATAGAAGTGAAAGAAGTGAAAGAAGTAAATTCAAAAGATATAATAAAAATTTAAGAAAGATGATAATTTATTTTTAATAAAGATAATAACTGATCACTGATAAACTGGCCGCTGGAATCATGAATTTCATGTTTAATCTCATTTGATCTGGTCTCATACATTTCTTGGCGTGAATCCTGCTGGGACTAGTCATTAAAAAAACATGCAAAGTGACTATATATAAGATCTTAAAATGAAACCATGACTTGAAAAAAATGAGAAAGTGATTTCATTTAGTTTCATTTAGTCCCATTCTTAGCATAAAGTTACTATTTTTAGACATTTTAAGGTTTTTTTTAGACTATTTTTAATTTTTTAAAAAGTAACACTTTTTGGTAACACTCAAATGAGATTTAAAGTCATTTAAAGCAATAAAAATAATTTAAATTGAGAAGTGAAAATCATGATCTCATTTGGAAAATGTGACAAGAGTAGACAGTAAGTCTCACTGAGACAGTATGAAACTACTATCTAATGTTAAAACCGTGTAATGGAATCGGTCGAATTAGTAATGAGACTATCAAAAAATCTGATCCTGGTCTCAGACACGGTCACACGGTTAGTCTAATCACTGATGTGTGTAAGAAGAATTATTATAAGAGAGAATAATCTTCTTTCTTAACTTAGTTATAATTTTAGTACTAACTCAGATTAAATATTATCAATATATAAAAGTAAATAAATAATCTTAATTAATCTCTATCATATTTCTTGAAATATATTAATATTGTGAAAGAGAGTGTTATCAAATTTTATTATCAGATAATATTATTAAAAATATATTAATATTGTGAATATTAATATTGAAAAAATGTTGATACTTATATATTATAGTGATTTGTGAATCATGATAGTTAAATATATATATATATATATATAATTTCTGACTTGATTACAACTTGTATAATAATTTTTGAAAACTCAAAATTAATTTCAATTATTAATAATTATGAACTTATAACTAACTAATATAAAAAGAAAAAAACTTTTTCTACTTATTATCTTTCTTCTCTTTCTTATTCTTCTTATTATTCTTTATAATTCACTTCTTATTCTTCTTCTTCTTCTTCTTCTTCTTCTCATCTGAGATAATAATCATCTTAAAATCTCTCTCTGCTGCCTTCTCAGAAGAGAGTTCTCACTGCTTTCTCTCAGTCAGATCAATCTGTATCTTAAAATCCCACATTTTCTAATCTGCTGTCTCAGGTTTCATCTCAGTAGTAAGTAGATTGACATACTCAGAGAGTAGAGCTGTCTTCTCAATGTTCTAAATCATGAAGTGTATTCAAGATCTGAATAAGATCTCAATTCTCTTCTTCTCTGTCAGCTTCTGCTAATCAATTAGAGAATAGAAGTATTATTAAAAATTATTATCTTTTAATAAATAAAAAACTTACTAGTTTTGACTTCTTTATCTTCTACTTTAACATCTTCTCAATCTTTTTCTACTGCTATGTATTTATAGTAATACTCTTCTTCTCTCTTTCTCTCTTCATCTTAGTCTTAAATTATTCTCAGAACTTCTTTTAATCTCACTACTACTGTATAAGACTCTTCACTATCTTCTTCTTCAATCTCTCACAGACAGTGTCATCTGTATTATTTCTATACTTAGTTCAGTCTAAATCTATCAGAAGTATTACTTAAAATCATTATTATTCTATTCTCTTACAGAGTCTCTTCAAGATATTATAATATATCTTATAATCTGTCTCTTCTTACTTAAATATCTTCTTCTTCTCTCTCTTCAATCTGTGACAGTGCTCACGCGCCTTAGTGATTCACAGAACTGCAGAATATTTGAAGAGAGATAACATGATTAATTTCAGTGAGTGTTAAAGAGAGATGAAGGCAGAAGAGACGGCTAGAAATAATATAATAATAATGATAATAATGATAGTAATGATGATGATGATAATGATGATGATAATCATGATGAAAGAGAGAGTGTATTGAAATATATTACTAACTTATCAAATATAAAGAGACTTAAAGAAAATATTAACAGCTTTCAGAAATGTACAGAAACAGCTATAGTGTTGCATAGTAATATCATCTTCATTTAATACATACACTGTTAATATTCTTTATATACAGTTATTATATAATCTGTATCAGAGATACATGCAGAAAACAGATCTTTATTACTAGAATAAATAATTACAGCAATTCTCTGTTTTTATATTATAAAGATAAGTTATTCTCATTTCTTTCTTCTCTCTTTTCTCTTCTTCAATCAATCACTAATTTCAAGCTGATATGAAAACTATTAAAACACTCTTGAAAACTCTCAAATTGAAGAGTATAGACTAATTAAATTTTAAATACAGAAGAAATCAAATTATCTTCTACAGATTCAATTACTTATTCTTTCTTAAATAAAACAGCAGTTATGTTCCCCTCTTCTCTCAATTAAACAAAACATAGCCTGTAAAAAGTGAGTATCACATCAGGTCATAATGATCAACACAGTCTCAGTACACAGAGCTGCATATACACAGTGCATGCTGAACTGAGAGACTACATGAATTGCAAACTGATGACAGCATCTCAGAGAGGGCTGTGCAGTGTGAGAAAGCTGCAACTCTTAATCATATGTGCAGAGAGTGATTATTATTATTATTATTATTCTTCAATTATAGATGTATGCAGTCAGAGACTATGACATCTACCTGAGAACCTTTAGTTCTCAGGGTTTTTCCTATATCTATAGAGTCAACTATTATATATTTATCAATTTCAGATATGCAAAATCAGAAAATTCCAGCTCAGAATATAAAAACTGTTTATAAATTGCAGTATTTCAACACCTTCTGATACTTTAAAATCATTTGAAAATATCATGACAAAGGAAAAGAGAACATAGTCTTAAAGATAGACACATTAAATAGATAGATAGAAAAGAACAGAAAGAAACAAGTACAGTAAAGAGAGACTATAACAAAATAAAAATTATTAAAAGATAGTGTATAGCTGTTTTAACAGACTATATCTAATCAATTTCCGCCTCTTCATATTCAGATACTTCTGAATTCAGCCATTTTCTTGTAGCTGCTTTGAGTTTCTGATAGAAAGTCTATTAAGTATTTAATTCCTGTCTCAGTTGAGAATAAGAACCTCATATTTAATTGATTTAAATCATACTTCTTCTTTAATCTGACTCTGAGACTATTGTATAATACACAATGCATTACAATATGCTCAGGTTTTTCATTCACATTGCAGAATGAGCACTCTGTTGAATCAAATCTATCATCAAATCTTTGTATATAGGATTTGAAATAATCATGTCCTAGTTTCAGCTGAATTATAGATGAGAATATTTTCTTTTTACATTTAATTGAACAAGATTTTCACTTTGGTTTTGTCTCAAATCTTGAATAATGTATGCTCTTCTTTTGTTTCTGCCAGCTTTCATTTCACTTGTTTAAACAAGATTCTTTTATCTTTCTCTTTATGAAAGACTGCAGAGAGTGAATCACTGCAGTAAGTACATGTGTATTGAAGTAATACTTTTTAATAATACTCAGTCTCTGATATAATGAAAATAAAGTCCCCATCACATACATATATACACAGGCATCTATGCCAACAAACCGCTCCACCACGAACTCGCTCGATTTTTCGAATAAGAACCCGCCGATAGATCCATCGAAAAGCCCTCGATCATACGAGCATTCTGACCCCATCGCCGACCGCATACCCCGTGTGGTGGTGGAGTTATCCAGCCAAACGTGAACCAGACGTCGTTCGGAACTCCTGCGTGGGATTATCCCCCATTCTCCCCTACCACACCACAACCCCGGGCCAAATTGCCATACAAATTGTAAGGTGAAGAGACCTAGCCGTATGCACCAATCTTCTCGATTTTGGAAGATCCCCGATCTGTAGTTGTGGAGATATCTGAGGAGCGACCTCCGCGAAAACCCTGTCCATCTTTGATGTTCCAAAACACCAACGCCAAGTCTCACCCTCGTACCGCCCTTCCCAATCTGGCCCATCCCCAGCAGAAAAATACAAAAAGATACCTCAGCGATAATATCAAGCACATAATCAACAGACAATGAGTCAACAGCACATCAACAACTATAAAATCAGTATACCCCAAGGTCTGACTGAGCCTTTGATCCCTGCACAGTGAGATATATTAAATCTAGTTTTAATATCTCAATATTCAATAGATTCTGCAAGAGATTGAGAACAGCAACACTAGATTTCTATTGAATTTGAGAATTAACTCTATATTGATATAATCATTGACAAAGTCTTCTATTTTGAGATATAAATAACCAGTTCCTCTACATCCCGCTGACAATATTTACATTATTATATAGAAACAGACTTATATTCTCTATAATATCAAGACTCTGAAGAGAGAAAGTCTTGATAGAGAGTATACAGTAGTGCATATCTTAGCAGTTTCTATCTCATTCTTCTGCAGCAGTTAATGCAAAAAAAAAAAGATCTTAGAAATAGTTTTTTACTTCTCTTGAAAAAGTAAGGTGTTTTTCTCTGGGTTTTACACAATATTCTTACAAAGAATTAAAAACAGAGTTGTTTTCTGTCATAATTTCATATTCTTTTAAATAAGAATTACTTTTTCAGTAGCTGAAGAGCTTTCATTAATACTTAATTCTTTTTTACACTCTTTATTAACTGATTTGAGTTGCACACTTGTTGTGTGAGAAGAATTGAATAATTTAGAATAAAATTGAATAGTTTTAATCAATTTCTCTGCAAAAAATTGATTTATTTTTTGTCAGTTTTTCTCTCAAAAACTGTCATATTATCTGATTTACTATCAATTGATATCACACTTTTTCTCACTGTATCTCAAGAAAGAGATTGTAAAGATTTTATTGATTTATCTTAAAAATCAATTTTAGTTTATTAGATTCTCTTCAAAAATCTAACCTAGTTACTGAACTAGTGTGAAAAAAATCAGGTGTTTTATACACAAAAGTCTGCTATTCTTCTTTTGAAATAGTCTGATCAACTTTTCAATTGAAAACAGACTTAGAAACCTCTTAATTGAAACAGTCTGATCAACTTTTCAATTCAAAAGAGTTTAATAAATATCTTAATTGAATTAGTCTGATCAACTTTTCATTGAGTAAGAACAATGAGTTCAAAAGTACACTCAGTTGATGTGAAAAAAGATGCTTTCTCAAATGCTATTCCTGAGATTGAAATTCTGAAGAGAAGAAAGAAAGAAGAAATAGAGAAATAACAAGTTCTTGAAATATAGAAACTTGAAAAAGCAAGTAAAATTCTTGAAAAGCAGTGTCTGAGTGAGATGAATGAAGAAGTTCTGTTAATTCTTCATACTCAGACTAGACAACTACAGGAAGTGATCAAGTTCAAACTTGGAATTTCAAACACAGTTCAAAAAACTTTGAAAATTTCTAATACAATCACTGACTCTTCTGTTTACTCTTCTTTCTTTTCTACTTCTTCTTCTTCTTCTTCTTTAAATCAGAAGAAAACATATGCTCAAGCAGCTGAATCTGCTGCCTCTAAACCTGCTGTCTCTAAATCTACTATCTCAAAACCTGCTCAAAATTCTGAGAAAACTGAGAAGAATACTGCTCATACTTCTAGTGATAGAAGAGTGGAGAAAAAAATGCAAAAAGAGAAAAATCTTCAAATCTCCAGAAATAGAAGACTTATTCTCAAAGTCTCAAATCAGAACATATTGCAGAGAAATAAGCTAAACTCAAACCTTATTTTCAGAATTAGAAATGAAATCAATCAGCAGTTCTTTTCTCAGTTAATGACTGATATTGAAGTTCAAAAACCAGTTATAGCTTCAATTGAGTCATTCTTCTTTGAAAACTCTATCATTCTGACTACAATGCCTGAATTCAGTGCTGAATTCCTTATTCAGAATGAGAATCTCTGAAAATCAGCAGTAGAATCTTTGTTAAACACAACAATTCTATCTGAGAGAGATGAAAAGTGAGACAAATTCATTCTTCATGATATTTCAGTTGAAATTTTTGACTGTGAAGAAGAAATACTACTTCTCAAAAATGAATTAGAAGAATACAACTCTATTCAACTGAGAAAGAAGCCTGTATAACTAAATTCAATTGAGTTCAGACAAAGCAGAAGAAATGCCTCTGTTCTAGTATATATAAAGACAATGAAACAGTCAAAGATCTCTGAAGTAAGAGTAGCAGATTTGAAAATGAGAGTTCATGAATACAAAGACTCAAGAATGAATCTCAAAGCTCAAACACAGTGTTCAAACTGTCAAAGATATGAACACTTTGCAATCTCCTGTTTCAGAGACTCAAAATGTGCATTCTGTGCCAGAGATCACAAAACTAGTGAGCATAAATGTGAAACATGCTCAAAAAGAGGTGAAATATGTCAACACACTCTGCTTAAATGCTCTAATTGCAAAGAAAAACATGCATCTAGCTCAAAAGAATGTATGTTTACTTCAAGAACTCAAAAGAACTGGAGAAAAGATGAAGCTCAGAGTAAACCTAGAACTGAAGAGAATAGTCAAGTCAGTAAACTCACAACTGCAAGCTCAAAAAGAAGAAACTCTCAACTATCTAAGTCTTCAAACTTCAATTCTCCAGCTAAATGTAAACAGAATTTGAATCCTCAAACTCCTGTTAAGATTAGAGAATTGAGAAATGACTCTGATAATAAACTAGATATAATACAAGCAGTTGAAATTCCTACTTTTCAGAACAGTTATAATCTACTATCTGATGATAGTGATTAGATTCTACTCTACTCTCTTAGTATAAATATATAACAAAAACAATAAAAAAAGTTTAAAAACTCTTCAAAAATCACATTTATTCAAAATAATGTGAATAGAAACTCAAATTGCATTTATTCTTATCTTCAAATTGCATTTGAATAAAAAGTTGATTTTATACTGCTTCAGAAGCCGAATTTTAATGCTGAGCAAAAATATGTCATTTCTCATTTAAGCTACTACTGCTTTTTACCTTAAAAGTCTGAGATAAAGTCAAGAGTAGTGATCTATGAAAGAAAGAGATCAAGATATCAATTTAATCTAAGATTTAATATCATGTCTGACCCTGATATTCTGGTGAGTGACATTATAGATAAAGAAAATAAGTTTGATACTATACAGCTCATAAATATCTATAATGAAAAGTCATTGAAGGAATATAACAATATCTGAACAATTGATAGAGAATTTCTGAACATAACTTCATCAAGAAACTCTATAATTGCAGAAGACTTCAATGCACATCATCTCTGATAGAATTCAGAATGCAAGAGAGCAGTGAGAGCTGATAATCTGGTTGAATGAACCTTTGAGCATTCAATAGATTTGGTTAATAAGTCTGATCAACAAACATTCTTTAGAAAAGGCATGAAACAGAAGTCTATTATAGATCTAACCTTTATGTCACAAAATCTAATGAAAAGAAGACTTGTAAACTGGTTTATTGATTCAAATAAGACATCAGGATCAGATCATGAGATTATTCAATTTGATATTGAACTGAGTGAAAAATAAATGAGTGAAAATCCTCTTCTCTCTAATCAGTATAACTTTGAAAAAGCTGATTAAAAAGTAGTTGAAAAAAGCATAAAACTGTTAAAATCTGAAAGACAGAATGAGCTATATTGAAATTCTGGTCAAGATGTCTCAAATGAAATGCTTGAGAATAGAGTGAAGCTTATTACATCTATTATTCTAACAAGTGTTAGAGATAATATTTCAAAGAGAAAATCTTCTGAGTTTTCAAAATCTTGATGAAATGAGAATATCTCATCTAAAAGAAAAGAATTAGCTACTGCTAGAAGAGATTGAAAGAATGATGTAATATCTGATGAAGAGTTCAAAGCTGTCAGAAATGAATATTTTTCAGATATTAAAAGAGCTAAAACAGACTGCTGGAATAAATTTCTTGAAGAAGCATAAGAAAAGGAAGTTTTTAAAGCTTTTAACTATACTAAAACAAGAAGTGTAGCAAAACTTCCAGCCTTAGAATATGAGTTTCAGAATAAATCATATACAGCAAACTCTTTTGAGGAAAAATGTCAAGCTTTCATGAGAATTCTCTTTCAGAACTCACCAGATTCAGATTCAGATTCAGAGAAAGAGAATATATCACTTCTCAACTACATTGATGAAAATGACTGGAAATGACCTGATCTTACACAAGATGAATTAGAGTCAGCTATCTTCTCAAGTTCTGTTAAAACTGCTGCAGATCCTGATTCAATTAATCACTTGATTATTCAGAATATATATTCCTACTTAAAGAATGAATATTTTGAGCTCTTTTTCAATCTCTTGAAAAATGAATATCATTCTGAATGCTGAAGAGAAGCCACTGAAGTGATTCTTACAAACCCAATAGAAAAACTTCAATTCCTAAGTCATATAGAGTAATATCTCTATTGAACTGCCTAGGAAAGGTTTTAGAAAAGATAATAGCTACTCAACTATCTTTTATAAGCTCTATAGATGATTCTCTTTTATTCAGTGAATAAATGAGAGATAGAAAACAGTGTTCTGCAATTGACACTGTTCTCTCAGTTGTTCATGATATTCAAATAGCAAAGTATGAGGATCTGGTCTCAACTGCAGTTTTTATTGATATAAAAGAAGTATTTGATTATGTTTCAAAGTCAAGATTAATTCAGACATTGAAGATATTAAAACTGTCACTTTCTCTAATAAAATGAGTTAACTGTTTTATATCTAAAAGAAGTATACAACTCTTCTTTGATGGAATGAAATAAGACAAGACTGAGATAAAAGTGAGAGTATCACAGAAATCTTCAATCTCACTCATTTTATTTGCAATATACACTGCATATCTATTTAAAAATAGAAATATGAGAATAGTGTGATCTCTGAGTTATGTGAATGATATTGATCTAGTCTACAGCTCAAAAACTATCAAAGAGAATTTAAAAGTAATTGAAGAAGCTGCAAAAGAAATCTTTGTTAGAGCAGATATCAATCAAATTCAATTTGATATGAATAAAACTGAGTTAATTCACTTCTTTTCAAGATTCAATGAGAAAGAACTAT